GCCGCTCACAGTCGCCTGCTCAGCGCCATCTTGGAAGCTTGTGACGTCCGCGCCGCCCGCTCGCCGCTGACCCACATCTGAATGGGCGCGCGGCGGGGCGGGGTCTAGAGGGCGGGGTCTAGGGGCGGGCCCGAGGCGGGGTCTCTGGCGGTCCGCTGCCTGGGCCCGGAGGCGGCACGGATGGGCCGTGGGGGAGGGGCGCGCAGGAGGAGCCCGGGACCCCCCAATCCTTGGTGCACACCTGACCCCGGACCCTTTTGGCGCGACCAGAACTCATTTGTCCCAAAACTCGCGGCCCGTGGGTTCCCCTGGACTGGAAGTCCGATCTCCTACAGACCCACACCCAGCCCCCAGACTCTGGTTGACCCCCTTTGAGGATAACCCTGACCCTCCGGGCCTCCTATCAAAGACCCCTCTTAGAGACTTGAACCCCACCTCTCTCTGTACCCCGCTCTGAGAACCTCCAGGGGCCCCAGCCTCCAAGGCGCAGCTCCAGGGATTGGGGACTTTAGGTCTGGAGTCCCGGAAGATCCAGGCCGTTGGGGTCCAGAAGACAAGAGGAGCGCTCTGTCCCTAACCCCAGTGCCCTCGGAGCCAGCGCCCACAGCCCCCTGAATCGGCCGTACCTGCTCCCAGGGCACAGAGGTCCGGTGCATGCAGAGTCAGCCAGCCCCTTCCGGTGACCGCGTCCTCTCACAGGCCCCAGGGGTCAGGCTATGCCTGAGCTGGCCTCCTTGGACCCGCGCTGGCTTCGAATCGGTAACTGACCACTTGTCGGGGAGTCAACTCAGGGGTCCCCTCTACTTTAAATGCCAAACAAAGGAACACAGCAGCCCCTCGTTAGCGCCCACAAGTCCAAGAGGAACCTAGATTTGGGATATATGTTAGGAAAGTTGTGTGCCCTAACACACACGTCAGGATTGATGTTCAATAGTCCCTCACTAAAGACTGCTCTGTCCAAATCAGTGTGTAGGTTTAATCTTATCTTAACATTTCTAAGATTGAAAGACAAAATTCACTAGGAGGAAATAAAAGTAGCCAAAACCAGCTATGATCTCCCACGTACACTCACTCACCTTGGAGTCCTGGTGAGGTGTTACAGACTGGACTGCAAAGTTGGTTTGAACCGCAATGTCAGTGATTCAAACGCACCAGCTGCTCCTTGGAAATTCTATACTGGGTCGCTATGGCTTGGAACCGACTCAATGGCACTTATAAATATTAAAACAAATTAGAAAGCTACAGCAATCCCATCAGTGTGGTACAAACAACACAACAAAATCTAGGAACAAAGCCTAGAAATTATTAAGAATAAAGCAGAGGGAAAAGAGGATATCAAAACTCATGAAGAAAAAAAAGAATGTCCTACAAATTTTGCTCAGAAAAGGAATCATTTGAAGGAACTGCTGGCAGAAGGGGTGTGGGGGAGAATCTCCTTACTAATCAAAGACATGTAAATGAAAGGTACAAATGCATTTTGCCAATAAATTAAAAATGGAATGATGATCTCCAAACTTAGCCACTTTTGACCACTGTTGAAATAGTTCACATTGCCTTGAAATTCCTGGACACTGATTTGGCATTATGAGCCAAAAATCTTTACAAATGACCATTTCTTCTGGAAATCTGTTCTAGGGAAATAATATTACAAGCTATATGTGATTATTGTCCTGGTGTGGCATTGTAGAATAAGCACTGGACCACAAGGTCAGTTTGAACCATAAGGTCGGCAGTTCAAACTTACCAGCCACTCCTTGGAAACCCTATACAACGTCACTGTGAGTTGGAGCTGACTTAGTGGCACTTAACAATAAGCTTGGAAGGAGGAGCCCACTGCTGACACCACACCTGAAGCTTAATTACCACTCAATAATTACTTGTCTAATTTGAATTTTAAAATGAATGTGCTTACTCAAATGACATAATAATAATAAAAAAAGCATTATGAACAGCTGAAATGCCCAACAATAGAGGATTGGTTAAATAGATCGCATGAAGCAGACACTAGGAATGGTGTTTATAAGGATGTTTTGTGACTTTCAAATGTGCAAATGGCAGGATGTTAAGTCCTCAAAAATGCAAAAGATAAAATTACATGTGCCAATGCATTGTAAAATATGAATCCATAGAGAAGCAACTGATGAAAATACATCAAAATATTTACAGAGGTTTTCTTTAGGTTTCAGCGGCTATAAATCTACGAGAACAGAATCTTCATGTTTTTCCGGCAGAGTGACTAGTAGAGGCAAACTGCTGCTGAGCTGGCAGTTAGCAGCCAAACTCAACCTACTACATTATCAGAGTTCCTTCATATTGTGAGGATGGTGCAGGGTCAGGCAGTGTTTCACTCTGTTTCACATAAGGTGGCTCTTAGAATTGTGGAGTTGGTACCAACTCGTAGCAACCTTATGCACTACAGAACGAAACACTGCCCAGTCCTGTGCCAAACTCATAATCATTACACTTGAGTCCATTGTTGCTACCAATTGTGCCAATTTATCTCATTGGGGGATGGGGGTCTTCCTCCTACTTATAGATGTATAGACTTGTTTAGTAGAAGTACAAAAGCAACAAAAAAATGTGAATGAAAGATAGAAACAAACAAACAAAAACAAACTATGAGTGGAACACTTATATGGGCATTTTAAGTTTTTATAGCTATTGCCAGGTTTACTTTCCCAAACTGTTGGAGCTGTTCTATCCTGTGGACAATTTCTTTTCTTTCCTTTTTTTTACCCCCTACGTCTTTCACTTTTTCAAACATTCTGAATTTTCTGTACTTAGTACAAAGTTCTTAAAACATCTGGTAAAAAAATTCCAACAGAGTGGAAAGCACAATAAAAAAAGCCCGCTACGATTGCATCAATTGTGACTGACAATGACCCTATAGAATAGAGCAGGACTGCTCACGGGGTTTCCAAGGTTGTTTATCTCTACAGAAGTAGACACCCTCATCTTTCTCCCAAAGAGCAGCTAGTGGGTTTAATCCACCAACCTTGAAGTTAGCAGCCCAATGTTTAACCCATTGTGCCACCAGGACTCATTGGAAACAATGACAGGCTTTTCAAATCACTATGACCTAGATCCTAACCATCTGTTTTGGGTTATTGGGCAGTTCCTGACCAGTCCTGTTTGCTGTTAAGTGCCTTGGGTTCAGTTCTGACTCATAGCAACCCTGTATAGGATTCCCAAGGAGCAACTAGTGGGCTTGGACTGCCAACCTTGTGGTTAGCAGTCCAGTGCTGACCCTACAGTGCCACTTCAGGACTCCTCTGGTCCTGCTAAGTACTTGTAAAGCCCCAACTTGGTTTTTCCCCTGCTCCTTGCTAACTATCATTTCAACTTAAAAATTAGGAAAAATTTTTGATGGAAGATTTCAGAAGTTTTTTCTCACTGATGACAAACCTGTAAAACTATACTTGAGTGGAAGGTAATATAAAAACCACACAATGGAGACCACCTTGTTATTAGTTGTAGTCAAGTCAGTTCCACCTCCTGTAATCCCATGTACAACAGAATGGAACACTGCCTGGGCCTGCACCAGCCTCTCAATCCTTGCTCTGAGTCCATTGTTGTAGTTACTGTGTCAATCCATCTTGTTGAGGGTCGTCTTCATTTTCTCTGATCCTCGACTTTACCAATCATGATGTCCTTCAACAGGGACTGGTCCCTCCTAATGATATATCCATAGTATTTGAGATGAACTCTTACCATCCTCACTTCTCAAGAGCATTTTGGCAAAACTTCCAGCAAGATGGCAGACTAAGCATATGCACTACATGGATCTTCTACAACAATGATATGAAAGACCAAATGAAACAGACAGAGATGAAAACTCTAGAATGCTGAACATCAGAGGAAAGGTTACAGAAGTGGATTGAGTACTTGCTGGGAGGAGAACCTGAGCAAAGATGGTGAGAGGAGACTGACTGGTGAATGGCAGGCCAGACACAGTGCAACTATATTGTGAGCATCTTGGGAAACATAAGGTGGCCTGGCAGAGCAGATTCACACAAACAGGAAAGGTGTGATTCCTTCTAAAAAGGTGTGGCCAGCTCCCACCCTCATCCATCCCTAGCACTGACCCTGCTTTCCAAGAGTTCTGAGCCATGTGGTTGGAAGCTGAGCCAGTGTGAGGTGGGGGCAGGCTGTGCCACTTTGGTGTGCCGTGTTGATGCCTAGATTCAAGCAGGCTCAGCTTCAGACCTATGGAACCCACACAGCCACCAGGAACTCAACTCTCACATCTCTCCCAAACTCACACGTACCTTGTGAGCTCCTTGGCTTGTAGGAGACCCCTAGAGTTTTCACCTCTCTGGGTCCAACAACTGCACTGCTTTTTTTTCAGTTCTTGTTTTGGGGTTGTTTATTTCCTTTAATTGTTTCATTGCTTTGGTTTGTTTATTCTTTCTCTTCCTTCTTCTTCTTTTTCCATGCCCTTAAATTTTATCTGTTCTATCTATGCTTTTGTTTTTCCTTTTTTTTTTTTTCTTCTGTTTCTCTTTTCCCCTCATCTTTTTTTTCCCTTTTGACCATTTTTTTGACTACTCTCTACTCTTTATTTTTCATCATCTGTCTCCCTGTTAAAAAAAAAAATTTTTTTTTAATTTCTTCCTTTTATTTCTGACCTTGTTTTTCTATTTTTAGTTCCATTTTTCAGATCATCTTTTCTGTTTCATTATTCTTAAGTGTTTTTTTTTTTCTTAGTTTCTCCTTTTCTTTCTGTCTTATATTTCTTTTCTATAGCTCCATTTCCCTGTCCCTCTTTTGTTTTTGTTGTTATTAAGTGCCGTTGAGTGGGTTCCAACTCACAGAAATCCTGTATAGGATTTCCAAGGAGCAGCTGGGGGGTTTGAACTATTGACCTTGTGGTTCACAGTCCAGTGCTGATCCTACAGCACTAGACTATGGTTTTCTGGTTGCTGCCTGTTTTAATTTATTTTTTTCTCTTTTCAATGTCTGTTCCTTGTTTGTTTATTGTGTTTTATTTTCTTGTGTGTGTGTGGCAGGGAGGGGTCTTCTCTTTCCTATATGACAGGAGACAGTAACTGTGCCCATACAGCCCAGCCACAACCACACAC